CTCGTATATTCAACCGAACCATTACAAAATGTTAGGATTGAAGACTTTGAAGTACTATATGGCATGTCTTATTTGGTGGTATTTCAACTTTCAAACACTTTGTTATCTCGTCAGACTCAATAGTTTAATGTTGGTATTAGGAATATTAATTATTTAATTATTCATTTTGATATGTCAATGATTCTATAGCCTAATCCTACTCTTACATTAACGCTCTTCGCCACTTGTTTCACCAATTCATTTAGATGACTGATTTGATTACCATATTATACTATTTAAAAAAGTCTCTGTTTTATTATTTGTCAACAGCAATGCTATGATAACAGCAATTGCAACGATGAATAGCCAAAATTATAGAGTAGAGCTACCAAGTTCCCTAGAATTCTGAAACCATGCAATAGAAACTCAGGAGTTCTAAGACACACCAAACTTACAAGACCTAAAAGAATACCAAGAAATTTAAGAAACTTAAGAGAAATCAAAGAGAACTAAGAAATTCGAGAATAAAACCAAGAAAATTAAGAAACCCAAAAGAAAACAAGAGAAACCAAAGATTTCTAAACAGAACTAAATTTCGTCAGGAAACTCGTCAGGTGTCAACGTCTGCAAGCTGTGAATAGATAATCAACTTATAGTCATATAATAATCGAATATTATGACTCTTCCAGTGAGTGAAGTGTAGTTACCATCAGAGCTAAGCTATATAAAATACGAAATTCTTCTGTCCACAAAGAACTATATTCAATATTAACAGCTGACAAAAGTTGACACCTAACGAGTTGTCTGCCAAAATGAATGAGAATCAAATTTGTAAAAAAAGATATTTTCAAAACTTTTGTGTTAGAGTTCTAATTTTAAAACAGTTCTCTTCAGAACACTTAGCTTTTCCTTGTTTTCTTTTGAGTTCCCTACTTTTCTTGGATTTCTCTTGGTTTTCTTTTGGTTTTTAGAAATCTCGGCAAATCTAAAGGTTTTCGCCATTCACCATGGCAATTGCACTTTTCAATTCAATATTTAAACTTGCAAATGCACAGAAAAAATTGGCCCGTTTATTACACCACTTACAGCGCTCACATAAACATTGTCAATACATAATTTCAAATCGACATTTTCCTTTGGCAGTTGATCAACAATAACTTTAAGATATTTGAGCTTATGTGGAATGAGGTAAATTACACTTTTTGAGTTGTGTCGATTGCTTGGAAGCTTTGGTAGCTGCGCATTGTCAAGTAATGAATTAAATGTGAAGATGAAAGATATTAAAACTTCCTTCTAAAAAATTATTAATTCACTGTAGTAATCGTAGAATACCCTGCTATGCACATACTTAACTACATGCACGGCTAATCTGAGCCCTAAAGTTTTTTTTCCTGAACATAATCTAACTTGAACTTTGTTGGCACTCTTTGTGGAATGGAAATTCTATAATTTTGCCATTTTCCCAAAAACATATCAGCCTACGAGCAAAAAAATATACTTTTTTTATTTGCATTTTCCTTGCTTTTGACGCTTAGTCAATGTTATCAAATGTAAATGCCTTCACATTAAATTTGAGGAATAATATTTTTAAAATACCAAAAAATACGTTAAATCTAATGATATTACAACCAGAAATAACAGAAACGCGTTTGACTAAACTATAAAAATTGTTAAATTACTATAAAAGAATCCATATTTTAAAATAATATTGCTCATGCAAGTCAACCTATTCATAACTTTTAAACTTGTATTCTAAGTGACCATAGTTTTAAAAATGGCTGAAGAATATATTTTTAAACAATGACGGGGCGATCTCGATTCTGATTGGCTAAGAACCTACAGATAATTCTTAAAGTGATGGAATTTACAAACAGTTTTTGTTCGAATTATTAAGAATAAAACAGGAAAAAAGGGCTACATTGTCAGTCAAAGAGAGTATTTACCAAAAAAATGGCCAAGAATTATTTGTGTCAAAGCAAGAAAAAACTTAATGACTTCCGTAGCTTCTGTCTTTTCATTTATTATTGGCTAACTTGACCACAGTTGATCCCTAAGGAAAGCCAAAACAAAGAATATAGAGGCGTAGCGGCTTACGCAAATAAACTATGTTATATGGTTGTGCTTAATCCTTATATTAAAAAAGCTCTTGATTCTAGAACAGCAATAAAATTATTGGAATAATACCTTTTAAAAAACTTGCTAGTTTTAGGTTTTCCTCCTTTGTTAAAACAACGCTCGACGAAAAGGCACTCATTTCGTTCAACAATCTCATCGTCTTCAATAGCCACTACAATCCAAAGAAATAATACCAAGACTTTCAACATCCTTTGTTAACATGGAGAAAGGATCATTAAGAGTTAGCATTGGAACTGACAATTTTGCAGAAACATGTAAAACTGTACCGACGAAGTTGCATAAATATATAGAAATAATTATCTTTTAAATTGTTGATCTACTGACGTAATTAGGCACCAACATGGCATAAAAAATGAAAGTAGTTTTCATTAATTTCCATTTTACAATCTTATATTTAATTAGATTGTTGTCTTTATTCAGATTTCTCATTAAAGATTATAAATGCAAACAAAGTGAGTTCTTTTCCCAAATCCCAATTCACAAACCATATCAATGTTTCATTGTATAATGATGCTTTGACACTTCCAAATAAAATTTTGATTTTACTGACAATCATTTTATCTGTGAAGTTCATGTCGAAAAGAGTAAAAGAAAAATGACTTCAAACTCAAAATTCCTCAATCTAACAGACGAAGATTCTCCCATGGAGGAGTCGCCCAAAGCGACGACGACTGTGTCTAAAAACATTGATGCATCTGAAACAGAAAACTACGGCGAATTTAGTTGTTCATTGTGCATTTTGCCAAATAAACGAGCAGCAGATCCTCTTACTATTTATAAGGAGTTTATCAAAGCAGCCATAAACACTTCGCCTTTTAAAATGAGCACAGTAACTGCAATGTATAAATGCGCAATCAAGAACTTTTGTGACAACTCGAATTTAGCACCTTGCTGGTGTTCTCACGTTCGTAAAGTTTTATCACGTTTTGATTGCTTTATAAAATTGCATCGGATATCGGACGACAAAGATAGTGAACATTACTGGGCAATAGACCATGATTGCAATGAAAGTAGCACCTACTTCTACAATGTTTCACAAGAATTAGAAATTGTGCAACGGGAACGATCTGTTGAAAAACCAGCTTGTATTTATGCAGTTCTAATCCAGTTGGCGATCATGAGTTCACTACGTCAAAAAATGACAACCCTTCAAGTTTGTCAGTTTATCTTAGATAACTTTCCTTACTTTCAAAACTGTCGCCCAGGCTGGCGTAATTGTGTAAGAAATACTTTATCAGGGTACCAGGAATTTATCAGGATACCTCAAGATGGAGCCAATTGGAATTTCTGGAAAATAGATCCAGAATTATGTTGGATTAATAACGAAACATTTGACAAATTTAATTTAACTAGACCACATACATGGAACTCTCAAAGAACAACATCTAATTACTGATGCACAAAAAGTTCCAGCTCTAGTTACATTGCCAAAGTCAAAAGAAATAGAAAATCAGGCGCCCATTATTGAAAACATTCAAACTTCTTCAGCTTCTACATTTTCAAACCAACCGATTTGTGGAAGAACAACAAATACCATGCCTCTTATCCTTGTCACATCAGAAACTTCCAGGTCTTCTACACACTCTATACGTCAAACAACACTCAGTTCTCGTGTAAAACACCCAACAACAAATAATCCTGAGCAGTTCATATCAGTTGATGAAGCTACAAAGCAATCTGTTTCCTTTGAAGAGCCTATTCCACATATGCAATCATTATTTTCTCCTGGTACGCAGCTATCTATATCTTCTACACCTTATACATCCCAAGTAATACCTTCTACCTATACAAGCCAGCAGAATATCCCTGTACAATTTTCATCAGTTTCTGCTGCTACACAACAAGTTATGTCTCCTGCACCCCATATACCCAAAGTAATGCATCGTATTTCAATGTTGTGTGAAAATGAGCTAACCAACGACATTCTTGCACAGTACCATTTTTTATTAGCCCAGGGCAGAGAATCATCAGATGACGAAAGAGACCAGATTCATACTGGAGAAAAATTAAGATACTGGACAGACAAAAGGAAGAAAAACTACTGAAAACTCTTCACACTTTGCTATAAAGGCATGAAAGCATGTGGATAAGAATTTGTGATAAATTTTTAATCATATATTTATACGATCTTTTCCGTATTTTTATTAATGCTCTTAATTTTATTTAATTATGTGTAATCCATGAGTCATTTTCCATTCTTGAAAAGCCTCCTTTAAGCGTATTAGATTACTGAAGCGAATTAAATCACTTTTTTCCACGCAGTCCATGACTTTTCAAAATTGATAGTCTTATTCAACAGTTGTTTGACCAAAAAAAACTTGTAAGTGTGACGAAAATAACTAATCACTGATTAAAATTTGTAGATACTATAATTAAAGGAGGGTGGTTGCAGATCAATCTCCCTTCTCGTATTCTATATAATATGCTACGATGAACTTTATAACATAAAAACTAGTTTTATGGAGAAGAAGAGTAACATGTGTTCCTGTCATGTGGGAATAATACGCAGGCTTTCAGGGGAGTTTAAACCGGAATTTTTATTAATTTGTATTAATACAGCAATGACATAAAAAATTATTCACCGTTACAATAAAAATGCAATTTGTACATGGTTCATGCATTATATATCTGTAGATGTACACCGTTATATATCTGTAGATATCCACTTTCACGTCATTAAACTTGGGTATTCTGAACGGGAAACAAAAACAATACTCTCTCGTAGATTGCTAACAGTTGATGGTTCTAGGAAAATTTGTTTTAAAAACTAAATACAAAGGCTAATTTATGAAGTGCTGGCAATGAGAGGACAACGATATGCAAACACCCGTTTCACCCATTCTAACGCTTAAAGCATTAGTTCTAATTTTTAGAAATACGTTACGAAGCGTCAATAAAATGTATTCCGCGCATTCTGATGTATGGGATTCACGAATTTATGAAATACTTTATTTAGTCATCTTTATTTTCCTGTTCTGTGATCTGGCGATGGCGGAAAACGTTCGACGTTCAGCATCTTATGATATTTTAAATGACGAACAAAAAAAGATCTTGAAGGATTATTATGATCGAGGAATGATTTCAACAGCAGCTAGTATGAGGGATGTCATCCAAGAAGCTGCGAACCAAGGTAATATCACGTTTGAAAGAGTCAAGGTAAACAGAATGCACGAGTTTATATTTTTCACCCGCGCTTTCTTTTTCATTAGCAACGAGTGATCTTCGCCAGTATTTTTTGATTTGATGGGTTTAGTTATTGTTGCTGTAACTGACATTAAATATAGCGTGCATTTTATATCTTCTAATTATACCCTTAACTTATATAATAGACAGTTTACAAGTGTCAGAGATACATATAAAATGATGTATATAAACAGATATACTTAGGATTTTCCCTTAATTGGGGAGTGCATGGTTTATTTTCTGACTGTACCACAATACCAGTGTTTTTATATTTAGTATTGCTTGACAATTGAAAATTGCAACGTTTGCTGACGATGTTTGTAAAATTTATTCCACTGTTAAAATTTTAACTTGGCCTATTAAACATATAATTATTATATTTTTATACTCACACTTGTTTTTACTATGTACTATAAAAACAATCTTGTTTTTATTTGTATTCAACCCTCTCGAGCTTTTATCTTTCTCTGTTGTCAGATGTAATATGTATGTACCACTGGTTACTATATCTTTTTGCATTAAATCGATCTGTAGTTTTCTTCAATAATGCAATTTCTCCTTTATAAAAGTAATAAGATCATAGTATTTACATACATATACTCATTTCATAATATTCATATCATAGTATAGAGGTGCCACAGGTAGTACATCTTAAAAAGGGGTGGGAAAACTTGGTAATTTTTCTATTTTTGAGTATGCCTTCAAGACTGTTGATCACAAATTTTTCGTAGTGTTCTGAGTTTGTTGGAACTTAAGGGCAGGCATTCTGTAACATTCTCACAAATCTTGTAATCAGAAAACCTATGGTTTTCCCTCGATTTTCCCTCAACAATGGTTTTCCAAAAATTAAATGATTAAATGCGCATTTTCTCTATAACACATTTTTAATGCCCACTGGTGTTTCCATTTTCCATGAAAGAATTGCCTGGGATTCATGCTATAACAAACAGTGACCTTATCATTTTGCAAATAGTAATCCTGAAATGTAGGTAAATTTGAGAATATTACCATTAATTAATTGTTTTTTAGAAATCCATAGTTTTCACAGCAAGTGAAATTTTGCGTTGCATGAATAAATGACTGAGCAGACTATGCTGTATTCATTGCATGTTTTTGAAAGTTTGCGAATGACAGAATCCTTGCAGTTTATGGAGACTCAATAGTGTTGAATCTACCTTAAATTGTAAATGCTAGAGATGTTTTTCTAATTTCTACTCTCTGCTAGTCACCCCATTATTATGTATATAATTGCTTTAAAGGTTTAATTGCATTGGGTGCATACCATTGAAGGTGACCAAGGCAAAACCTAAATTAATATACCTTAACAAATTTTCTTATTAATTAGGTTAATAGTCCCTAAAAATTTTTATCTTGTGCAGGAATAAGTCACATTTTTTACTTTTTTGGCTCTCCTAATTTACGAATAATTTGAGAAAGAAGTTTCATATAGATGGTGGTTCTTAGTTACATACTTAATGAATTCTGTTACTGGTGAAATAAGCTCATCCTTATTGCAGAATTTTCTAATGAAATTGTTTGATTGTCTGGTTTGCAAAGAAGCATTTATATTTTTTAACATAATAATTTTTTGTTGTTTAGACTAAGTTAGCATATCCTATTCTTCAAATAACTTGAAGGCTTCATGTTAGTACTCTATTTGTTCATGCACCATGTAGTAAATAACCTTTGTTAACCAGGTTAGCTACAAGAAAAAGAAAAAGTTTTTATTGTTATTTCTTCTAGAAATGAATTGGGAATGAAAAGCAGTCCAGAAAAAGAAAAGCCAGCTCTCATCAAGATGAGGAGTTAAGACTGTGCCCTTTAAAGCGTAGAACTACAGCATATAATCTTTTTTGCTCACATATGCTGAACTCAGGTTCTGATCTATAAACTGCATGTTTTTTATGGCCTGCACAATATGTATCATTTTGATTCCACCAAAAGTGCTAAGACAAAACCTGTGCAGTCGTCATTTAAACCTAAAAGAGTACATTGTTTCTTTCTGTTGTTAAATGCCTTTTGTAAATATGCATTTTGTAATTTTAGAGGAATGCAAGCAGCTGAGCTCTAATTCTGAGAGGTTGAAGTTAGCTGTAGACCACTGGAACTTGTTAGGGGCAGAGGAACGTGTGATTTGGGCAGAAAGAGCAAAGGCTGTTCAAAGCAATTACATTCATGACTTGACACTTAAGCAGCGCACAAACCAAGTAAAAAAAGGGAAAAAGCAGCTTTTGTCACAGGTACAGCTATTATTACCCACTGTACATATGTACAGTATTATGATATAAGAAAATGATTTTTAATTTGATTGTTTGTGCGTAGATTTAGTTGATCATCTCTATAAACATAACGTGATGGTTTGTAAATTTCAACCCATTCTAAAAGAAAGACAATTTACCTAAGCAAAACTTCTACTACAAAAAAATTTGTAAAAGGTGTTATGAATTGTTAGAAGTAGCAAATAAATGCCGAAATTTAGCCAAGTCTACTGGGTTACAGATCCACAAAGTTAGCATTTTGTAACGTTTGCAAATTTACTGTGGAAAATATTACCATTGATAGACCAGTGTCATGGATGTGAAGGGGGAGTATTTTGTAAGAAATTTTGCAATCCCCATAGCTTTAGATAGATTAGGGTGTACGAGGGGCTATAATTTCCCCACAAAATAATATTATACGTATCATAAAATAAGGCCAAAGCAATTATGATAAGTGTTCAATCTAACACATTGTAGATGTGTTGATTTTTATACTTTTTGTTTACTTAAAGAAAAAATATGCTGAAAACTTATGCTGTATAAATTCAATTAAATTTCTCTTTGCTAGCTTACTTACTTAGAAAGTCTTGGTTGTGAAGCAGTTGTTTTATTCTTGGAGCTTGGTGATTCTTGTCTTCAACAGTTTGGAACAGAAAAAGGAATCAACTTTTTGAATAAAAATGAAAAATTGGTGTCAATTTCGTTGAGTATTTGGGTAAGTGCTGTATTTTCTGAAACCTTGGAATACAGCATTATTTCTCTTAGTTTTTTTCTGAAACTTGTGGGTCTTGGAATACCAGTGCATTATTTCTCAAGCATTAGTGCTGTTCTAAGAATGTTTATTCAGTTGTGCCCTTCGGATTTCTTTTGAAAGTAAATTGCTTTCAAAAGTAATCACTTGGGCTCAGCTGGATATATGAATAATCCTCTTCTCCCATCCATACATTTTACACGGGCTTTATTTCTTTATCAATTTTTTTTTATTAAATAGATTCTCCAAAACAGGTTGTCAGAAAGTAAAGGGTGTGTGATGTGATAAAACTATTCAACCAGAAATACAGTAAGTGCAAATTGCATTTGAAATGATTTTCCATTTTCTGAGCTTGTGTCATGGTTGATATTTTTTAGTCCATTTTATACACAATTCCTTTTTTGACAGTCAAGTTATTTTAAGTCAACATGAATGTTTTACACCATTGTGAAACATTTCCAAACTTATCAAATCAAATCATGGGAAAGAATGCTGTTTCGTAAAAAATGAACAATGTGCATTACAGTTTACATATTTAGCAAATATCATTTATTGTGTCTGTCCTCATAGTTTTGTACGTATTAAAATCTCTCCCCATAAATATGCGGGACTTTTGTTATTGTCATTGATTGTTGCTAGCTACATTTATGTATTACCCATCAATGTAATTCACTTCGAAGGTGAAGCTTGTGAGAAAACGTGCCGAGTACCTTATTTAAAAGGAGGATTTACTGTTACTGGTTTGCCAGAAGGTATTACATTTAAAACCCAGTCAGTATGGTATTAAACAGATTTCCAACATTATGAAAAATGCACAGAATGGTTATTTCAAAATAATCGAATCACCGCAAGTAGAAAAAGTTTTAACAGAGAATCGTAAATATTCTGATCAAGAGAGAATGTTACCGATCTGTGTTGAAGAAAGTTGTTGAAGAAGCCAAAGTATCAATGTGCTTGATACGTAACAAGCTGATTGAAGAATGCGATTTGGTGGTAACTGATATAGATTTGACAAATTTTTTCAAACCTGATGCCTTTGCGACTCTTATTGCCAACTGTAGAAGCAGTCGAACACACGAAGGATGCATTCTTCCGGTTTATACTGACTCTGATGAACCGTATTGGCTCTTCTATTATCCTGGTGCAGCTGGAGGCATTGAATCATTGTCTACTGAAGATAAGATTTGGGGATATTGGTTAGACAAGACGAGCTCAGAACTAACTTATAAACTCATTAAAACCAAGAAAACAATCATTATTGGATTAAATTTAATCTGTTACCAGGACAAAGAATTAGGAACTTTAAGGTTAAAAACCAAAATTTTTACATCCCAAATAAGCATACCTTTCGGTTTTCACACGTCTGTTTTGGAATGCCTTGCTAAACAGGATTTCTTGTAGTGTGTTAAACCTTTTTTTGTATAGCATGTTCATGTTGTTACCAATAATTGTATGCACCTAAAGTATTTGTATTCTTATATTATGTACAAGTGTAGTTTGAATGTTAAGAAATAACTATCGGGGGAAACGAGTAAAAATATTTCCAAATGTTCTTGTTTACATTTTGTTGTTTTTCTCACACTATTTCAACACCACGTCTATTGTCTCCACTATATATTGCCTTTGCTCATTGCATTTATGCCATCTTGTGATTTTGCATGACATTCAGATACCAGACCAAAGTACTTAAAAAATTTCCTGGAATACTCAAAGTTTTGAGGCTCACAAAAATCTCTAATTTTGAATCAATTAATTAAGCCCATTTTCGTTCTTTGCCAATTTTATTTGTTGATTGTTTAATAAAGCTTCGTAGCTACCCCAATGATAAGTAAAGTCATGTGGCATTTGTCAGAAAATGGGTAGAGCACATTGCAGGTTAAAGGATTAACTAAAAAATATAGACATTGTCAATTGTTAACCTATTACCCCTTATACTAGAGTATACCATTTACAAAAAAGTTTTAGAGATTTGGTAACAGTTTTACAAAGTTATTCTAATGGAAAAGCAATCGTTTCAAATAAAGTATGCAGTTTTAATTCGCTTTAGTAATCTATGTTTTTTTTTCAAAATCTGTTTACACTCCATAAAACAATGGAATGTGCTGTAAAGATGAGTTGAAAATGAATTTGCAAACATGTGAAAGATTGGCAAATGTGTTGAATAAGATTGCAAATAAAGATGAAAATGAAATTTTATATAAAGTTTTGTTTTCATCTAATGAGAAACGCGTTATCTTTGAAGTGATTGAGATAATAAATTAAGTTTGAAAACACAAAAATCATACCATGTTGTGGATGAAAGTGGAACTGTTTATGTTAATGATGATGATGATGATGAGGATGATTGTTTCAAACCCACTGATCTAAATGATATTGCAATGATTGATAGGACAGATGAATTTTACAAAATATATTTCAGAAAAGATGACGATTTAAAAGCTATATCACAAAAAGTGCGACAATTTTTTGGATTTTGTCGTGATTTATTAAAAAGTGAAGACGAAAAAAAAATCAATGGAAAGGAAGATGAAGAAGAAAAAGTAAAAAAGGAAATGCCAAAAACTGTACCAAGTAAAAAAAGACAAAAAGACATTGAAAATAGTAATGACATTTAAGCTATTTATGTATTGAAAGAGTTTTCTAATAAATTGGATATTCCAATATATGATTGCATTGCTTATCATAGTGAATTTATAAATGAAATTTTAGAGGAAAAATTGGAAAGAAATATGATTTTATAGAATGTTATAAAAAATATGGAAATGAAAAAATTGAAAGAACATATAATGATATATTTTTTTTCAAAGCTTGATTTTCATCATCCTCCAACGTTTGTGAATGATGATGATGTGGATAACGAAGAAGAAAACTAATAATTTAATTAACAATGACTTTATAAAAAGAGCTGCAAGATTATTAAAAGGTGAACATTTAGAAGATAATAAACAAAATATACATAATTTGTATCAAAAAAAATATAATCGTTTAAATATAAATGTATGAAAAAAAATTATTTATGGACTATTGATTTAGCTGAAATGAATGATTTGCAAGATATAATGATAATTTGTGTTATTTGTTATGTGTAGTTGATGTTTATTCAAGATATGGTTTTGTTCAGTTATTGCAAAATAAATCTAGTAAAAATGTTATGGAAAAATTTGAAGATATTGTATTGAAAGAAAATGAATTTCCTAAAGAAATAATAACACACGAGGGAACTGAATTTCAATTACAATTTATAATACTTATAATCGTGAAATTAAAGCTACTCATGCTGATAGATTTATGCAAACAATAAAACAGATGATTTGAAAAACTATTGACTTGTCTCAAACAAGAAACGGAAAAAAATTTACTTATGAAAATACTTACATTTAATTGTGGAAAGATATAACAAATATCCTTATCGTGGATTACTTTCTGACAATCTTTCACCATATGATGTCTATTTAGGTGGAAAAAAAATAACATCAAAAGATTATCTAATATTATGAACAAAAAAAGAGATAAAAATTTAAGTATATTAAGGAAAAATGATAAAGTGCAAATTTCAAGAATTAAAAATAATATTTGTGGAAAGGAAAGTTTAAGACAGTGGGTTAATGAGACTTTTATATAAATAAAGTTTTGTTGACGGATCTTGTTACTTATAAGCTTTGTGATAACAACGGTAAAGAAATTCAAGGGAAATTTTATTGTGAAGAATTAAAAAGGTTTCAAAATGAAAATTATTAAATTAATTAGTAAAGTTAATAATAAAAATTGTTAAAAAAACTATATTAATGATTTTGCTACAACATTATCTGGTCAAATTGACGCATTAAATAATAAAAAATACATAACAGTGTTAAACGTTTTTTATCCAAAAACAGCAAAAACATAAATGAAGATGAAATCTGGTATGATTTAGAATTTAAATTTTCGAAATCTTTTATTCAAACGGATGTTACTACTAAAAATATTGATATGTTATATACAATTTTAAAGTTTAATTTACCAAGAATTAAAATACCATTGGGAGTACACAACAATAAAACAATTATATCGCTTTTGAATGATTATTTAAATGATTATAATATTTTTTTAAAAATATAATTTTAACAAATGAATATATTTGATACTATGTTCAAGGGAAAGAATCTTATTCTAATAAGGGTAAAAATATGATATTATCTTAGGATAGAATACATTCAATCATTTTGTCTTATAAATATTCGTCTTTTCTTGCTTGTTATAAAGTACAATATAAAGTCATTGCCCTTAAATTAACTGTAAAACATGCACGCAAAAAGGAATATTTATATGAAAAAATACTTGATACACTAAAAGTTTAAAAAAGTCACCTCGTGGTAAAAGGATTATCGTTCGAGTAATGATTTCCGTTTTCCACATTTCATGCAAACTCTATTCATAAAGCCTGGCGCACATTAGCGCCATCGGCTGAGCTGAGAGTTACTCGTGACTGTTGGCGCACGCCATTTCCTCAAGTGTGCGGTCAAGTTTTCAGCAATATTCGCCTCGCGCGCCATCGGCGCCGATTATTCAACATGTTGAATAAAATGGTGCACGAGTGAACATTGGCTCCAAGTGTGCGCGCGTGCTGAGCTATTATCTCAACACGTGAAGAAAATGCGCATGCGTTCTTTCCTCAATCATTTCAACATGGACTCTGGTAGTGTCTTTGTAGCAGAAGCTTTGTTGGAAGATCATTTGGCTGACATTTGGCCAGATTTTCCCTGTCTTTATGAGGTGCGATGTCCTGAGTTTAAAAATCGGGATTTACGTGAAAATGCGTTCGAAGAAATCGCTGAAAAACTCGGAAAAACAGGTAACGTACAGGCGAAACGTGGGTCTGTGTGTGTCTATAAACTGTTGTGCCAAATGTTGTATGTGACAACTTATCATTCATCATGCATCCATTATTTTTGTTCTATCTAGTTGATTGGGTAAAGTCAAAAATCCGATCATTGCGAAATAGTTTCGTAAAGGCGAAAAAACCTCCACCCAGTGGCAGTGCTAGAAAAAATCCATCTCGTCGAACCACTTGGATATTAGAGAAGTTACAATT